TTTTGAGGGGGAATGGAAGGAGACAAACCACCTTATTTAAGGAGAATACTAACTAGAATGTATTTTTTTACATGCTGGATAACAGCCTTTTCTCCCCCACTACACATCTTCAAATGCTGGTGAAATCCCATCTACATTTTTACTTGCTAGCTTCATTGGCAGGGATTCATTTAATAAGCACAGTTGTTGTTTTTCTCTATTTAAAAAAAGTCCAAAAATTCTATTAAGTATAGTGTACTCAGCTCTACAGACCCAAGTATTCGTGTGCTAATTTGGGGATTTAGAAGTGTGAATATGCTAAGAAAATAAAGACTGCAAAAATCATGAGATCACATCAGAATTTTAAAAGTACTACATTTTATTAACTAGTATGTGAAAACTACAAATCCTAAGATTATGAAGTATTCTGAAAAGTGTGTTCTACTGACCTACATTAAACATTTTCAAGCAAATTGCTTATTCAAAGCAATTTTGGGGGTAATCATTAGAGTATGTCAAAATAAGGTTCACTATGGAGCTCTCAGTGCATACTTAACTATGTAGTCACTAGCATGGTTTTGCTATTACAGGCAGGATGCAAAAGAATATTATAAGTTAATGTTGCCCAACACTGTCTATTACAAGCAGCTGAAAATGGGTTATAGCTATGGCAAACTAACTGTTCCAGCTGAAATTTTCCATGCTTGATCTCTTCCTCAAGTTAATTTAAAAAAACAAAATCTGAGCCAAAACAGTTCAGCCTCTTCTCAGATTGAGGTTAGTGAAAAATACATAGTTTTGACAATATTAAAATTGTTTCCAGCCATTTGTTTTTGAACTCTAGCCCATCATGGATTTGGAGCAGGGGGATAGTCTTGGGGCAAGATAGGTGTCATTTGCTGTCTCCATGAACAGCTATGCAGATTTGGCAGTGTTAATGTCCTTTAAAAAATCGCCATTTGCATACAATTCAATAGAACTTTTTTTACCCCTGTTCTTCAACTGTCTGGATGTTCCATCTGCACTGAGCGTGCTCCTAAATCCTACTGAGCTTCCTCATCAAAGTACCCTTTAGCCTAAGGGAAGTGTGCTAAACTGGAAGCCAGGAGACCATGTGTGGTAATCTCTTTTCTTCCACTGGCTTGTGTTCAGGGCTTAAATTCTCATAGAGTATTTCCTGGAACCCTGTTTGCCTCTGTCCCCAACATGCTATAAAAACTCCATAGGGGTTGAAAATATTTACTGAAGCTCTGCTCCGGACAGCTCTTAAAGCTCATTTAAGCCTTGCTTGTGTTAATAATTCTGTACATTTCTCAGGCCTTATTACAGACCACGGCCTCATGACTACCTCATAAGGTAGAAGGAAGTGATAATTAACACACTTCTTAAAGAAAAGGTAAATGAGAATCAGAGTTCAGAGCAGTTGCACAAAATCACTTCTGGCAGAGCTGTCTCCAAGAGATCCCAAGTCTTTTTTTTTATTTGACAGTTTATTTGCTCAGCCACACTGCCTCGTAGAATAGAATCATCATAGAATCATAGAATATCAGGGTTGGAAGGGACCTCAGGAGGTCATCTAGTCCAACCCCCTGCTCAAAGCAGGACCAATCCCCAATTAAATCATCCCAGCCAAGGATGTTTGTCAAGCCTGACCTTAAAAACTTCTAAGGAAGGAGATTCTACCACCTCCCTAGGTAACGCATTCCAGTGTTTCACCACCCTCCTAGTGAAAAAGTTTTTCCTAATATCCCACCTAAACCTCCCCCACTGCAACTTGAGACCATTATTCCTTGTCCTGTCCTCATCTACCACTGAGAATAGTCTAGAACCATTCTCTCTGGAACCACCTCTCAGGTAGTTGAAAGCAGCTATCAAATCCCCCCTCATTCTTCTCTTCTGCAGACTAAACAATCCCAGTTCCCTCAGCCTCTCCTCATAAGTCATGTGTTCCAGACCCCTAATCATTTTTGTTGCCCTTCGCTGGACTCTCTCCAGTTTATCCACATCCTTCTTGTAGTATGGGGCCCAAAACTGGACACAGTACTCCAGATGAGGCCTCACCAATGTCGAATAGAGGGGGACGATCACGTCCCTCGATCTGCTCGTTATGCCCCTACTTATACATCCCAAAATGCCATTGGCCTTCTTGGCAACAAGGGCACACTTCTGACTCATATCCAGCTTCTCGTCCACTGTCACCCCTAGGTCCTTTTCCGCAGAACTGCTGCCTAGCCATTCGGTCCCTAGTCTGTAGCTGTGCATTGGGTTCTTCCGTCCTAAGTGCAGGACCCTGCACTTATCCTTATTGAACCTCATCAGATTTCTTTTGGCCCAATCCTCCAATTTGTCTAGGTCCCTCTGTATGCTATCCCTGCCCTCCAGCGTATCTACCACTCCTCCCAGTGTAGTATCATCCGCAAATTTGCTGAGAGTGCAATCCACACCATCCTCCAGATCATTTATGAAGATATTGAACAAAACTGGCCCCAGGACTGACCCTTGGGGCACTCCACTTGATACCGGCTGCTAACTAGACATGGAGCCATTGATCACTACCCGTTGAGCCCGACAATCTAGACAGCTTACTACCCACCTTATAGTGCATTCTTCCAGCCCATACTTCCTTAACTTGCTGACAAGAATACTGTGGGAGACCGTGTCAAAAGCTTTGCTAAAGTCAAGAAACAATACATCCACTGCTTTCCCTTCATCCACAGAACCAGTAATCTCATCATAAAAGGCAATTAGATTAGTCAGGCATGACCTTCCCTTGGTGAATCCATGCTGGCTGTTCCTGATCACTTTCCTCTCATGCAAGTGCTTCAGGATTGATTCTTTGAGGACCTGCTCCATGATTTTTCTGGGGACTGAGGTGAGGCTGACTGGCTTGTAGTTCCCAGGATCCTCCTCCTTCCCTTTTTTAAAGATTGGCACTACATTAGCTTTTTTCCAGTCATCCGGGACTTCCCCCGTTCGCCACGAGTTTTCAAAGATAATGGCCAATGGCTCTGCAATCACAGCCGCCAATTCCTTTAGGACTCTCGGATGCAACTCGTCCGGCCCCATGGACTTGTGCACGTCCAGCTTTTCTAAATAGTCCCTAACCACCTCTTTCTCCACAGAGGGCTGGCCATCTATTCCCCATGTTGTGATGCCCAGCGCAGCAGTCTGGGAGCTGACCTTGTTAGTGAAGACAGAGGCAAAAAAAGCATTGAGTACATTAGCTTTTTCCACATCCTCTGTCACTGGGTTGCCTCCCTCATTCATTAAGGGGCTCACACTTTCCTTGGCTTTCTTCTTGTTGCCAACATACCTGAAGAAACCCTTCTTGTTACTCTTGACATCTCTCGCTAGCTGCAGCTCCAGGTGCGATTTGGCCCTCCTGATTTCATTCCTACAAGCCCGAGCAATATTTTTATACTGTTCCCTGGTCATATGTCCAACCTTCCACTTCTTGTAAGCTTCTTTTTTATGTTTAAGATCCGCTAGGATTTCACCATTAAGCCAAGCTGGTCGCCTCCCATATTTACTATTCTTTCGACACATCGGGATGCTTTGTCCCTGTAACCTCAACAGGGATTCCTTGAAATACAGCCAGCTCTCCTGGACTCCTTTCCCCTTCAAGTTAGTCCCCCAGGGGATCCTGGCCATCCGTTCCCTGAGGGAGTCGAAGTCTGCTTTCCTGAAGTCCAGGGTCCGTATCCTGCTGCTTACCTTTCTTCCCTGTGTCAGGATCCTGAACTCGACCAACTCACGGTCACTGCCTCCCAGATTCCCATCCACTTTTGCTTCCCCTACTAATTCTTCCCGGTTTGTGAGCAGCAGGTCAAGAAAAGCTCCCCCCCAGTTGGCTCCTCTAGCACTTGCACAAGGAAATTGTCCCCTACGCTTTCCAAAAACTTCCTGGATTGTCTATGCACCGCTGTATTGCTCTCCCAGCAGATATCAGGAAAATTAAAGTCACCCATGAGAACCAGGGCGTGCCATCTAGTAGCTTCTGCGAGCTGCCGGAAGAAAGCCTCATCCACCTCACCCCCCTGGTCCGGTGGTCTATAGCAGACTCCCACCGCTACATCACTCTTGTTGCTCACACTTCTAAACTTAATCCAGAGACACTCAGGTTTTTCTGCAGTTTCGTACCGGAGCTCTGAGCAGTCATACTGCTCCCTTACATACAGTGCTACTCCCCCACCTTTTCTGCCCTGCCTGTCCTTCCTGAACAGTTTATAACCATCCATGACAGTACTCCAGTCATGTGAGTTATCCCATCAAGTCTCTGTTATTCCAATCACATCATAATTCCTTGACATCACCAGGACCTCCAGTTCTCCCTGCTTGTTTCCAAGAATAGAGGTGGCAAATCTATTTTCTTGGCTATTCTGTGTACAAGAAGAGGTTACTCCTGCCTATCCACCTTCAAAAAGCTGTTTCACATACAGATGAATGAGCATGTAAATTGGCAAATGAGCCCTGAGAAAATACTCCATTCCCAGAGCCAGGAATAGAATCCAGGACTCCTGATTGCCAGCATTTCACTATGGTCTGGAAAATAGTCATGTAGGCACAGATCCAAAGGTATTTAGGCTCCCTTACTTCCATTGAAATCAGTGGAAGTTAAGATCCTAAATACTTTTGAGGATCTGGATTGTAACCCACTTACACAGTGTGGGTCATGTTCCCTTCTAGTGACTGGTCCACAGAGGTTAACAGACTACTACTGTTATTACCAGTTACTTCTTTAGCTCAAATAGTGGAGTTCTGTACTACAGATATGAAAATTTCAGGGTCAAACTCAGTTGACACCCCATGCAAGGAGGACATTGCAGTTGCATGTGCTGGATTTTTTTTTTTCAGTTCTCTTTTTAAAATGTTGCCACCCCCATACTGGAAATTCTATTTTAAAAAGCTATTAAAATAATTAAGATTGCAAAGTTTAGTACTAAAAAGGCAAAAAATTCCAGCATTAAAGTTACCATTGCAATCTAAATTGGATATGTCTTTCATTACATAAGCAGATATTTGTAATTTAAATTAAAATAGGTTTTCTATACCTAAAAAATTCATATTTTTAAGGTCCAGTAGTATCTCAGGACTAGAAACAGATTGCTGTATGCTGGCTGAAAACAGGGATTCTCACCCTTTTCAGTGATAAAAGTTTCTGTTTCTAGCCCAGTCAAGATGCATGTTATTACACCATGCGCCAATCACTGGTCCAGGACTGAATGTTACCTATCACTGGTCCAGGACTGAATGTTGCCAGGCCTGGGCCTCAGACTAGCGTAATTCTTGGGGGAGGAAAATTCTTGGTTTGTTTGTGGCTTCTTTTTTAAGGCGTTGTTTGAGGCTGCTTTTAGATTTGGAAGGTTAGTAGTAGTTCCAGGGGAGATGGCTTAATGGGCACAGAGGGCAGGTCAAAATTTTATCACTTGGTTCTGCAGTTTATCACACGGTCTCTCACCACCACCTACTGTGATGTGTGTGACTGGAGTAGACACTCGTCTTTAAAAAAAAAATCACATGCTTTGCAGCAGTATTTTACATCTGTGAATTTTTTTCTTGTCATCAATTCCTGTGTTTTCTTCACGAGCAAGCTATTATTTTCCCACACATCTTAATCCTTGTTTAGGATAAGGAACAAATAATTGGATTGGATGGATACAATTTTCTTACTGCCTCTTTACATACATGAATCAGTGTGTTAAATTAGCCTCATTTAAGATGAAGTTCAGTTCCAGTTCAGAGGTTTGTTATTATAGCTCCTCTTCTTTAATTCCAAAGTACAGCAGCAAGCAATAGACAAGAAAATAAACAAACCTTTGGGACAAACAAGCTCCACCACCTATCATATGTACTTTCAGAGGTCACACAGTTCCTGTAATGGCAGGATTCCAGCTTACCCTTTGGCTCTTGCATCAGATCACTACAAAAGTTTTTTTCTCCTGCTGATAATAGCTCATCTTAATTAATTAGCCTCTTACAGTTGGTATGGCTACTTCCACCTTTTCATGTTCTCTGTATGTATATATATATATCTTCTTAGTATATGTTCCATTCTATGCATCCGATGAAGTGGGCTGAAGCCCACGAAAGCTCATGCTCAAATAAATTGGTTAGTCTCTAAGGTGCCACAAGTACTCCTTTTCTTTTTGTGGATACAGACTAACACGGCTGCTACTCTGAAACAGAACGTAGATGGCATTCATCAGGATTTAAAATGTTTTGGTCTCTGCTGGAGGTCATCAAATGCAAAGCAACTGAAGAAACAAAGGGATTGCTGGCCCTGTTAGACCAGGCAGCATAAAGTGTTGTGGGGGAAAAAATTAAAATTGGTGACAATATCAGTCAGCAAGAGATGCGGACGCCACCATTAATTTTCCTTCATAGTCTTGCTGCTCACGTGAAAACCTGTGAGATCTTACTTACTCTAATCCTGCAGTTTATAGCAAATGCATGGACTGCTGCACTGGCATGGAGCCCTTGTCCTCAACAGAAAACTATTCAGGTGCAGAAGCCCGCCTGTGCTCAATCAGTTGCAGGGTTCAATTCCTAAAATGAGGAACTCAGTGGTAAACACACCGAGCACCACTTGAAATAAATCTGGCTGCAGCTGCCACAGGATTCTTCCACCCAACGTCTAAGGAGTGCAAAGCTAGGGTTAGTAACTTGCTCCTGTAAGCAGGGAGGACCAATAAAACCGATAAATAATGAAGGGCCAGAACCATTGGAAGGATACCTGTAATAGATGTAAACTCTTTGTGGGAGGGACTGTCATGATGTTCTGTGTTTGTACAGTGCCTAGCACAATGGGGTCCTGGTCCATGACTGGGGCTCCTAGGCACTATGGTAACACAAATAATAAATAATATCACCCTAATAGAAAGCCCCCCACATATATTTGTATTTGTGACAAGAACATGGCAAGGGCAAGTATCCAAGAAGAACAAAGACATTTCAAAAGACTTTTCTTCAGTGTCAACTAGAGCCACTAAGAAGTGTTTAAAAAATAATTTGAAAAATCCTTTGCTGTTGAGAAATATTATTTCCCTGCCACTCTATGCAGAAGTGGGGTGGGAAATCAGTGTTTTAATAGAAGGCTATGGAGAGCTGATAGACTGGGTAACCCTCCACCTCAGAAAGAGAAAGGACCCAGAGTCTCCAATAGAATATTCTCAATCCAGAGAATATTCCGCACCCCACTCTATCAGAATGAACCCTCAAACGATAGCAATAACATCCTCCAGACAAAAGCAGATGAGGGTGGATGTTCATGGCACATCCTATCAACAATAGTGGATTTATCAATAGACTCCTGAAGGCTTACTCAAGAGGACAGTCAGGGACTTCAATTAAATGATAGAGTGGGTCCTTAAATCCTGCAATGATTCATTTCTAGACACCACTGACCCTCTATCAAATATGTTTGAAATGGAATGAGACTCACTTGAACCAGGAGACACCAAACTTCTGTAGCTCCAGAAATGGGTTGAAAGGATTATTTGGTTGCTTAAATTGGTTAAACCAATAAGGTCTTGGTTTTAAAGAGAAAAAAATAGCATTAACAAAAACTTAAAATTGGATATATTGGTTGTAATAGATCATACAACGAAGTACTGAGAGCTTCTAAATGAAGACACCAAGGGCCAGAGGTTGTTGATGTAACAACAGATGGAACTTTTGTCATCTTTTAGGATTAGGTTCTAGGAGTCTGACTAGGTGAAAGATACCGTCTTGAGGTAATCGAGTTCCAGACTCATCAGCTGAGGGAGTTTAAATATAAATGCAGCTGAAGTATGAAGCAGCTAGATTGTATTTGATGCTTGCTGCTTTGAGTTAATGAAACATAAGGATGGTCATACTGGGTCAGACCAATGGTCCATTTAGCCCAGTATCCTGTCTTCTGACAATAGCCAATGCCAGATATTCCAGAAGGAATTAATAGAACAGGTAATAATCGAGTGATCCATCCCCTGTAGCCCATTCCCAGCTTTTGGCAATCAGAGGTTTAGGGATGCCCAGAGCAGGGGGTTGCCTCCCTGACCAGCTTGGCTCATACCCATTGAATGGACCTATTGTCCATGAACTTACCTAGTTCTTTTTTGAACCCAGCTATACTTCTGGCTTTCACACAACATCCATTGGCAATGAGTTCCACAGGTTGACTGTGCATTATGTGAAGAAGTACTTCCTTATGTTCATTTTGAACCTGCTGCTTATTAATTGGGTGACCCCGGGTTCTTTTGTTATGTAAAGGGGTAAATAACACATCTCTGTTCATCTTCTCTACAACATTCGTGATTTTATAGATCTCCAGCCTATCCCTCCATCGTCATTTCTTTTCTAAGATGAACAGTCCCAGTCTTTTTACTCTCTCTTCAGGGGAAGGTGTTCCATACCCCTGATAATTTTTGTTGCCCTTCTCCACGTGTTTCCCAACTCTAGTACATCTTTTTTGAGATGGGGCTACTAGAACTACATTAAATGAAGCGTTCACAGAGTCAGACCCATGGATATTAGAGACTGAAGTGTTAGTTACCTAAGGGAGTTACAATTATGGGAGAGCTGACAAGTGGTAGGACCTCTACTCCCCCTATTCTAAATTTCTGGTCGGGGAAAAACACATCCCCACTCTTTTTATTGCCAAGATAGCCTTTCAAATGTAAAAATATCACCATGCTGGAGTTTTTCCTTTAAAATAAAAACACCACGAGCGATAAATGATTATTTTGAGGGGGCAAGGAGAAGGAGTCAGTGCCTTCACACTGTGGCTCTTATCACCACCATCATAGTTGCTAGACACTAAGAATTACACTGAGTTCTTCGTAGTCAAGAGCCAGCATCAACAGCAGCTCAACTGGGGGATGGCTAGGGAACAGAAAAATCTTCATTCCATTCGCATCATTTTGCTGGGCTCTCTCCTTAAGCAGTTTTCACAGTAGTACCACATAGAGAAATTGACAGTAGCTCTTAGCCCTGGTCTACACTAGGACTTTAGGTCGAATTTAGCAGCGTTAAATCGATGTAAACCTGCACCCGTCCACACGATGAAGCCCTTTATTTCGACTTAAAGGGCTCTTAAAATCGATTTCCTTACTCCACCCCTGACAAGTGGATTAGCGCTTAAATCGACGTTGCCGGCTCGAATTTGGGGTACTGTGGACACAATTCGATGGTATTGGCCTCCGGGAGCTATCCCAGAGTGCTCCATTATGATCGCTCTGGACAGCACTCTCAACTCAGATGCACTGGCCAGGTAGACAGGAAAAGAACTGCGAACTTTTGAATCTCATTTCCTGTTTGGGCAGCGTGGCAAGCTTCAGGTGACCCTGCAGAGCTCATCAGCAGAGTTGACCATGATGGAGTCCCAGAATCGCAAAAAAGTTCCAGCATGGACTGAACGGGAGGTACGGGATCTGATCACTGTATGGGGAGAGGAATCCGTGCTATCAGAACTCCGTTCCAGTTTTCGAAACGCCAAAACCTTTGTCAAAATCTCCCAGGGCATGAAGGACAGAGGCCATAACGGGGATCCGAAGCAGTGCCACGTGAAACTTAAGAAGCTGAGGCAAGCCTACCAGAAAACCAGAGAGGTGAACGGCCGCTCCGGGTCAGACCCCCAAACTTGCCGCTTCTATGATGAGCTGCATGCCATTTTAGGGGGTTCAAACACCACTACCCCAGCTGTGTTGTTTGACTCCTTCAATGGAGATGGAGGCAACACGGAAGCAGGTTTTGGGGACGAAGAAGATGATGATGAGGTTGTAGATAGCTCACAGCAAGCAAGTGGAGAAACCAGTTTTCCCGACAGCCAGGAACTGTTTCTCACCCTGGACCTGGAGCCAGTACCCCCCGAACCTACCCTCCTGGACCCAGCAGGCGGAGAAGGGACCTCCGGTGAGTGTACCTTTTAAAATACTATACATGGTTTAAAAGCAAGCATGTGAAAGGATTAATTTGCCCTGGCATTCGCGGCTCTCCTGGATGTATTCCCAAAGCCTTTGCAAAAGGTTTCTGGGGAGGGCAGCCTTATTGCGTCCTCCATGGTAGGACACTTTACCACTCCAGGCCAGTAACACATACTCAAGAATCATTGTACAACAAAGCATTGCAGTGTATGTTTGCTGGCGTTCAAACAACATCCGTTCTTTATCTCTCTGTGTTATCCTCAGGAGAGTGAGATATCATTCATGGTCACCTGGTTGAAATAGGGTGCTTTTCTTCAGGGGACACTCACAGGTGCCCGTTCCTGCTGGGCTGTTTGCCTGTGGCTGAACAGAAATGTTCCCCGCTGTTAGCTACGGGGAGGGGGGAGAGTTGAGGGGGTAGCCACGCGGTGGGGGGAGGCAAAATGCGACCTTGTAACGAAAGCACATGTGCTATGTATGTAATGTTAATAGCAAGGTTTACCCTGAAAGAGTGTAGCCACTGTTTTATAAAATGTGTCTTTTTAAATACCGCTGTCCCTTTTTTTTTTCTCCACCAGCTGCATGTGTTTCAATGATCACAGGATCTTCTCCTTCCCAGAGGCTAGTGAAGATTAGAAAGAAAAAAAAATGCACTTGTGATGAAATGTTCTCTGAGCTCATGCTGTCCTCCCACACTGACAGAGCACAGACGAATGCGTGGAAGCAAATAATGTCAGAGTGCAGGAAAGCACAAAATGACCAGGAGGAGAGGTGGCGGGCTGAAGAGAGTAAGTGGCGGACTGAAGAGAGTAAGTGGCGGGCTGAAGACAGGGCTGAAGCTCAAATGTGGCGGCAGCGTGATGAGAGGAGGCAGGATTCAATGCTGAAGCTGCTGGAGGATCAAACCAGTATGCTCCAGTGTATGGTTGAGCTGCAGCAAAGGCAGCTGGAGCACAGACTGCCACTACAACCCCTGTGTAACCAACCGCCCTCCTCCCCAAGTTCCATAGCCTCCACACCCAGACGCCCAAGAACTTGGTGGGGGGACCTCCGGCCAACCAGCCACTCCACCACAGAGGATTGCCCAAAAAAAAGAAGGCTGGCATTCAATAAGTTTTAAAGTTGTAAACTTTTAAAGTGCTGTGTGGCATTTTCCTTCCCTCCTCCAGCACCCCTCCTGGGCTACCTTGGTAGTCATCCCCCTATTTGTGTGATGAATGAATAAAGAATGCATGAATGTGAAGCAACAATGACTTTATTGCCTCTGCGAGTGGTGATCGAAGGGAGGAGGGGAGGGTGGTTAGCTTACAGGGAAGTAGAGTGAACCAAGGGGCAGGGGGTTTCATCAAGGAGAAACAAACAGAACTTTCACACCGTAGCCTGGTCAGTCATAAAACTGGTTTTCAAAGCTTCTCTGATGTGTACCGCACCCTCCTGTGCTCTTCTAACCGCCCTGGTGTCTGGCTGCACGTAACCAGCAGCCAGGCGATTTGCCTCAACCTCTCACCCCGCCATAAACGTCTCCCCCTTACTCTCAGAGATATTGTGGAGCGCACAGCAAGCGGTAATAACAGTGGGAATATTGGTTTCGCTGAGATCTAAGCGAGTCAGTAAACTGCGCCAGCGCGCCTTTAAACGTCCAAATGCACATTCTACCACCATTCTGCACTTGCTCAGCCTGTAGTTGAACAGCTCCTGACTACTGTCCAGGCTGCCTGTGTACGGCTTCATGAGCCATGGCATTAAGGAGTAAGCTGGGTCCCCAAGGATAACTATAGTCATTTCAACATCCCCAACAGTTATTTTCTGGTCTGGGAATAAAGTCCCTTCCTGCAGCTTTTGAAACAGACCAGAGTTCCTGAAGATGCGAGCGTCATGTAGCTTTCCCGACCATCCCATGTTGATGTTGGTGAAACGTCCCTTGTGATCCACCAGAGCTTGCAGCACTATTGAAAAGTACCCCTTGCGGTTTATGTACTCGCCGGCTTGGTGCTCCGGTGCCATGATAGGGATATGGGTTCCGTCTATGGCCCCACCACAGTTAGGGAATCCCATTGCAGCAAAGCCATCCACTACGACCTGCACATTTCCCAGTGTCACTACCCTTGATATCAGCAGATCTTTGATTGTGTGGGCTACTTGCATCACAGCAGCCCCCACAGTAGATTTGCCCACTGCAAATTGATTCCCAACTGACCGGTAGCTGTCTGGCGTTGCAAGCTTCCACAGGGCTATCGCCACTCGCGTCTCAACTGTGAGGGCTGCTCTCATCTTGGTATTCATGCGCTTCAGGGCAGGGGAAAGCAAGTCACAAAGTTCCATAAAAGTGCCCTTATGCATGCGAAAGTTTCGCAGCCACTGGGAATCATCCCAGACCTGCAACACTATGCGGTCCCACCAGTCTGTGCTTGTTTCCCAAGCCCAGAATCGGTGTTTCACAGCATGAACCTGCCCCATTAGCACCATGATGCATGCATTGGCAGGGCCCATGCTTTCAGAGAAATCTGTGTCCATATCCTGATCACTCACGTGACTGCGCTGATGTCGCCTCCTCGCCCGGTATCGCTCTGCCAGTTTCTGGTGCTGCATATACTGCTGGATAATGCGTGTGGTGTTTAATGTGCTCCTAATTGCCAAAGTGAGCTGAGCGGCCTCCATGCTTGCCTTGGTATGGCGTCCGCACAGAAAAAAGGCGCGGAACAATTGTCTGCCGTTGCTCTGACGGAGGGAGGGGTGACTGACGACATGGCTTACGGGGTTGGCTTACAGGGAATTAAAGTCAACAAAGGGGGTGGCTTTACATCAATGAGTATTTCAGGCAGGACTTCACGGAGGGTTCCAAAAAGAAATGGTGCACCTAAGTAATTGTTCTTTTGGAACAAGCAGGTTGGTCTGGCCTCTGATTGATACATGGCTAGATTTACCTCGCTGCACCTTCTCTGTGAATGACTGCAGTGTGACCTAGAGGAATGAGTCCCCTAGACGGGGGAGGGGGAGAAGCAAATGAGTACAAAACAAATTTGGTCTATTTCTTGTTTTGATCCACTCCATCTATCTTTTACATCTTTGGCTGGCAGCAGACAGTGCAGAAGGACTGCATGCCATCCACATCTCATGGCTGCTCGGCAGAAGACGGTGCAGTAGGACTGCTAGCCATCCTCATCTCTTGGCTGCCTGGCAGAAGATGGTACAGTAGGACTGCTAGCAATCCGTATCGCCTGCCTGCTCACCGTAAGATGGTTCAATAGGACTGACTGCAGGACTAAAGATAATGACCTGGTCAAGTCACTCCAAATTTAGTCCCTGCGCCCATGTCTGCCCAGGCGCTTCTGGCCGATGTGGCCAGGAGCACCTCAGACATGACGATGACGGCTACCAGTCGTACTGTACCGTCTGCTGCCACAAGCCAATGGGTTGATGCTGCTGTGTAGCAATGCAGTACCACGTCTGCCAGCACCCAGGAGACATACGGTGACGGTTACCTGAGCGGGCTCCATGCTTGCCGTGGTATGGCGTCTGCACAGGTAACTCAGGAAAAAAGACGCGAAAAGATTGTCTGCCCTTGCTTTCACAGAGGGAGGGAGGGAACGGGGGCCTGACGATATGTACCCAGAACCACCCGCGACAATGTTTTAGCCCCATCAGGCATTGGGATCTCAACCCAGAATTCCAATGGGCAGCGGAGACTGCGGGAACTGTGGGATAGCTACCCACAGTGCAACACTCCGGAAGTCGACTCTAGCCTCGGTACTGTGGAAGCACTCCGCCGAGTTAATGCACTTAATGCACTTGGAGCATTTTCTGTGGGGACACACACACTCGAATATATAAAATCGATTTCTAAAAAACTGACTTCTATAAATTCGACCTAATTTTGTTGTGTAGACATACCCTTAGTCTACTAGTAGCACTGTTATTTCTCTCTATTGCTTCATGAGAAGATGAAATCCCTTTGTGTTTGAGGGATTAGGGAAAGGGAGAATTACTTCAGTAAACGCCCCTGGGTGTTGAGTGATCCATGGAAACATACTCCCTTTGTGTAACTAGGAGTATACGGATGGGAAGCCCCAAACTATGAACAACTGAAATCAAAGGCAAATGTGGCTGCACAGATGTAACTAAAGGTATAATTTGGCCTGGAGATCTTTAATTACTGGTGCTGCTGCACGAGAAGGAAAGAACCTATTTTAGCTTTCAGAGGGTAGGTAGTCTACAGAGATCGCAGTGACTTACCTTTTTATTTATAAACTGAGCAGATTTGCTATGGGAATTAGTGAGACATGATAAATGTAAAACCTCACAATACCATTTTTACAGAGTCATTTCTCAGAGCGGAGTTACTTTTTAAAGTTGCTGGACAATATGAAAAGGAATGTTACAAACTGTTCGCTGTAATCTGGGCCAATCCTTGTCGGGGAAGGCTGATTAAAGTTTCCGGGCCACGTTAAATGAAAGGAGAATAGAGAGAGAATACTTGCCTGGTTAGTTTATTTCAATAGCAACATGTGGAGAAATTCTGTGATCATTGTTTGGCTAGATGCCAATATTGTAAAGAGTATTTAGGTATTTAGATTCCTAACTTTCATGGAAGCCTTCCTCTTCTTAATCCCATTTCTCGCCTATTCTCTTCCTATTTCCTTCCTCTTTACAACTTTTATTATTTGTTTTGGGTTTTCAAGTGGATCCTGCCTTAATCTTAACTTTTGAATGGTGCTTTGTTTGCACAGCATTAATTTGAGTTTGGGGCCTCAGCTCCATTCCCAAAATGTTCTGTAGAAGTGAGATTCCTTTTGTAACAAGCAACTTCTGGAATGCAGCTATCAGCATTTTTAAAAGTGCCAACTATACCATACTGTTTTATACCTATCCCATTTTAAGCTCAGAGAGCAGATGGTTTGCAGAGGCTAAGACTGCTGAAATTAAAGCTTTAGTTAATATACTGCATGTGAAAATTCTCCTATTCCACAGCCATTGTATAGTTTGAGGTGCAATTATCCATAGTTCCTTAATTTTCACATGCTTTATTATTCATTGTGGCATAACATCATCACAAAATACTTCTCTGTGTTAGTTGTGTTTGCTCCCTGGGTTTCCTTTTGGTTGCAATGAAAACTAGATTACTTCTGTAATTATAAAGTCTCTTATGCTATTAAAAAATTACCTAAAATGTCAACTATATCTTTTTATCAATTCTTGCAATGGTTCATGGAGTTTAATCCTCAGTAGGAGGTTTCTGGGGGGAAGTAGGGAGAGGTTGCATTCTAAACAGAATTTGATTTGTGAGGAACATTGCTTATTAAGCCCCTGGTTCCACATGTGCTTAACTTTACTACTGTAATACCATTGAAATCAATGGGACTACTCGTGCTAGTAAAGCTAAGCATGTAAACGTCTGTCGTATCCGGGCCTAGGTCTAGTGGTTAAAACATAGGACTGTGATTCACGTAATCTGGTTTCCGTACCGAGCTCTGCCACAGACTGAGGGGCCTTGAGCAAGTCGCATGCAGCCAACTGTCTATGATGTTCCCTAATTGTGTACCCCTCAGTTTCTGGGTGCCCAATTGGAGACACTTAGGGCCTAACTTTTAGAAGTGCAGTGCATTCATAACTCCAGCTGACATCGGTGGTGTCCTTGACACCTCTGAAAAGTCAGGCAACAAGATATCTCAAGTTGGTTACCCCAAAACTGAAGAACACACAATTCGTGAACACATCCTGAAATTTTTAGCCTTGACTGTTCTCCCCCTCAGTGTCCTTATATGAAAATGTGGCTAATTGTACATCCTTTTGTCCCAGGGGACTTGTGAGGCTTAATTAAAGTTTGTAATGTTCTTTGAGTCCTTGGATAGGATATTTTTCAAGCTGTGAGCATCCCAATATGACATACAATGTGTGTGGCAAATATTCAAATTGAGGGACAAACGAAAGTTATTAGTGCTGGAAAGTTAAAATTACTTCCTGTCGTGTAGATAACCTTTTCTCTAACCTCAGTTTCATGATTCTTTATTTTCAACAATTCAAGTTAGTGGATGCCATATTGGTGTTGAAATTGTATGTCTTTCAAAATGAGATACAGTTGAGAGTTATGGCAAGAAAATACTATATAAGTGCAAAGACTTGTTGCTATTTTTGAAATGTTTTAAATAGTGAATGTAGTCCTTCTCAACAACTGACATGACACAAAGAAATGAAGAGAGTATGTTTCAAAACAGGTTACACATTATATGGAAAAATAGTTAACATATTTTGTAAGACTCAAAATATTCTTACAAAATGTTCTCCATGGAATGTATCAACCTTAACAGTAAAAAATTAAAGCAAACATTTTTTTTTCAAAATATTTTTGTCAGGTTTACACAATGTATAAACCCCCCCCCCATAAATATTTAACTCATTTTAAAAAACAAGGATGGATGTTCCTCCCAGCTTTTTATTATTATTATTATTATGTATTAAAAAGAGCTATATACAACCGTAATATAACTTTCTTAAAACATTCATATATTTACTTGTTGATATGCAACTAAATTCTACATAAACCCAAATAAACACAAAGAATGGATATCAAAAAATATAACCATTTCTTCTTCATTTTCTGATCTTTTTTCTATCCAAGGGGTAGGCAACCTATGGCACACGTGCCAAAGGTGGCACAGGAGCTGATTTTCAGTGGCACTCACACTGCCCTGGTGCTGGCCACCGGTCCGGGGGGCTCTGCATTTTAATTTAATTTTAAATGAAGCTTCTTAAACATTTTAAAACCCTTATTTACTTTACATACAACAATAGTTTAGTTATATATTATAGACTTATAGAAAGAGACCTTCTAAAAACGTTTCAGTGTATTACTGGCACGCGAAACCTTAAATTTGAGTGAATAAATGAAGACTCGACCACCACTTCTGAAAGGTTGCCGACCCCTGTTCTATCCCAAAGGGCAGCTAACATTACTGTACTTAAATGACGAACTAACTGTGTTCCTGTGAATGATGGACTACTAATCTCTACCTCAATACTGGGGAAATAACGAGGGAAATCATTAGAGACAGAAGTTTTACATGCTGAGATGAGTAAAGCATAAGAGGAACCAACCAGAAAAGTGCTTATAAGAGTAAATCACACAGCTAACTTTTTAGAATTCTTTGGAAGTACCGGTTTCAGAGTGGCAGCCGTGTTAGTCTGTATCCGCAAAAAGAAAAGGAGGACTTGTGGCACCTTAGAGACTAACCAATTTATTTGAGCATAAGCTTTCGGGAGCTAGAGCTCACTTCATCGGATGCATGCAGTGGAAAATACAGTGGGGAGATTTATATACACAGAGAACACGAAACAATGGGTGTATGGTAACACCCATTGTTTCATGTGTATGGTAACACCCATTGTTTCACGTTCTCTGTGTATATAAATCTCCCCACTGTATTTTCCACTGCATGCATCCAATGAAGTGAGCTGTAGCTCACGAAAGCTTATGCTCAAATAAATTTGATAGTCTCTAAGGTGCCACAAGTACTCCTTTTTTGGAAGTACCATGATTTATACAAACAATTTTTTTAAGCTTTCAAAAATCTTTTGTTGCAGAAGCTACTCCGGAACATTGATAACCACAGCATGAGTGTAAGAACTGTCATGGAGTACGAACTATAGTCAATCAAAGAATTGGAAGAAATGTTATAGAAATAGCATCTTTCTATTTTTTGTCAAAATTTTGAAAAATTTCAACCAGCTCTAATAATACCTGATGACTTGAGAGGAATGGGGTAAGCATTGCGGCGGCTCTGGTCAGCACTGCTGACCGGGACGTTAAAAGTCCCGTCGGTGATGCTGCCTGGCTAAGGCAGGCTAGTCTCTACCTGTTCTCACACCGTGGTGTGCCCCAGAAGCAGCCAGGAGCAGGTCTGGCTCCTAGGCGGGGGAGGCTATGGGCCTCCACGTGTTGCCTCTGCCCCTGGTTCCCGGCCAATGGGAATTGTGGGAGGTGGTGTCTGGGGGCAAGAGCCGCACAGAACCACTTGCGTGGCTCCACCTAGGAGCTGGACCTGCTGCTGGCTGCTTCCGGGGCACAACGCGGTCCGAGGTGCCAGGATAGGCAGGAAGCCTGCCTTAGCACCCCCACTGTCTTGCTGACCAGGAGTTGCTCGAAGTAACCCCACACTCCAATTCCTTGCCCCAGCCCTGAGCCCCCCCACAAACCCAGAGCCCCTTCCTGCACCCCAAACCCCTCGTCCCTGGCCCCACCCCAGCACCTGCATCCCCAGCACAGAGCCTTGACCCCCTCCTGCACCCCAACCCTCTGCCCCAGCCCTGAGCCCCCCCAAATCTAGAGCCCCCTCCTGCACCCCAAACCCCTCATCCCTGCTCCCACCCCGCAGCCCTCACCCCTGCACCGCAACCCTCTGCCTCAGCCCTGAGCCCCTCCCACACCGAGGTGAGGGGATGGGGAGCAGAGTGTGGGCAGAAGGCCGGGAGCAGGGCATAGGCACAGGAAGCACCCCCAGGTTTTATGCTCGGAGCCAGTGGCCCCACATAAAACCTGGGGGTGCTACAGCACCCCCCACATCTCTACTTCCTGCACTTACGACCTGGGCTCCAAATGTCAGGCTGGGTTCTTTACTTTGCAAGCATTATCATTTGTAATAAAAGTTTTGCAGGCCAAAATATGCCAAAAAATTGACATCTGTTCAGTCCCACTTGCTTTCCTGATTGGAACCCAGTAAAAAGTTCTATTGATGATGCACAAGAAAAAACGAAATCATCTCATTCTCTTTTAGCTGAGTTGGCTCTACAGGGCTAAGGAGCAAAAGGTAATAACCGCTGAGGCCCTGTTTCTGCAAATGTGTCAGAACCTGAGTAACTTTACACAGAGCAGCAGTCTTTGCAGGATCATTATCACTATTTTTATCACTAAAGTCAGCAGATGTGACTGAATGCACACAAGGAATAGATCACTGAGTAAGAGGAAGCCACTTTTGCTAGTTATTTTTCAAGGAAGACCTGTACTTTAAGATGCGAAATTGTTGACAGTTTAAAAGACAGCAAGTTATCTCAATATAATGAAAATATCCCCACTTAAAAGTAAATAGAAATGAGCCCAGCTCCATTTGAAGCATCCTCATCTAATTTTGGCATATCCCTCATTTTGCATTCAGTTGTTTATTTGTGATCTAACTGGTAAGGAGGCACATGAAGGGTTCATAGTTGAAGACCAAGGTAAAGAGCATGCCATCATAATATATTTAAAGAATAATGAAAATCACAGCAAAAATAAGGATGGATAAAAACATATTCCAAAGGAATTTATTGAATGTTTAAGGCCAGTGACTCTGCTTCACATACTGTAAATTGCACAATATAAATACAAATATCACTGGAAAGTCTGAGTGGTACTCTTATGTTATGCGTGACAAATGATATTTACGCATGAGTTTCCATTAGTATAAAAGAAATCATTTAAAAAATTCAAACTGAGACTCTAACTGTGAGCTCCACGCACATAGAGCTAATTGAAGGATTGGGGCCTGGTATGGTCATCATTTGTGTAACTTTCATTTTAAAATCAAACTACTACTATTAGCCAGAGCAGGGGACAAGGGATTCTACTCTACTATGAAGAATTAGGCTGTATCTGTAATACAAAATAGTCCACTAGGAAAGCAATTTTAAATATAACCTTTAAAATGGTTTCAGCCAACACAGCTGTACCCAGAGGGTGCATAGAATATAATTGCCCCATTTGTGTTATATCTTTTATCGTGTTTAAGCAGCAAGGTACAGCTCAGGACCAGAGCACATCTCCTTAATGTAGTTATTATTTATATTAAAATAGTACCTAGATGTCCCAAGCAGGGACATCGCATGATTCTGTTCTTACAAGCAAGAACACTGTCAGATCAGCTATGATGAAAAAGTGTGAAGCCTGAGATTGTCCTCGGGGTTGACTCATCCCCTCTGCTCATGGCTGGGTTTCTCTATCTAGATAATTACCTGATCCTATGGGCGCGGTAGCTGAGCAGTACACAAACATCCATGAACTTGTCCTCATGCCAGCCCTGTGAGCCCAGGAAGCATTAGCTCCAGTTTACAGCTGGGAAACCAAGGCACAGAGAGATTAAATAACTGGTGCAAGGTCTTGTCCACAGACAAGGCTTCTGGGGCCTAAGCCTTGATTTCCAGGGTCCCAATCCAGTGCTGTAATCACAGGACCAGCCTTACTCTCCAAAGCAGACATTTGTGCAATCCCAATGCTTTTATCAATCAGGCAAACAACACAATCCTGATGTTAAGCGAGGCTCCGGGGGCCCAGGCTACTACTCTCTCCATGACCCTGCTGTGCCAGGGCAGGTCATCTCTCTGGCCCTGTTCTGGAGCTGGCAGACCTGGCACCCACAGCTGCATGCCCGCCCTGGCCCTTTCACAAGCAGGAGCAAGAGACTGGGGGCCGGGAGGCACATGGGTCACCGGGCACAGGGGATTACAGGGGGGCTGGAACAATGTGTACAGTGGGGGTGCTGAGAGCCACTGAACCAAATTGTAAAGGCTGTGTGTAATGGAAACCACTTCAAAGCTGGGGGTGCTGCAGCTCCCCTAGTTCCAGCACTTGGGGGGGAGGTTGGAGTTGGGGGCAGCTCCCCCTCCCCTAGGCAGCAGGGGCTCTTGCCTCCCAGTGACCTTCCTGGAACCCTGGGGGGGGGGCGGACCCGGCTTCCACCTTCCCCGCCCCAGCATCCCGATTCCCCCGGCGGAGGGGGAAGGGTGTGACACCGGAGCCCCTCCCCGGAACCTTCCTCCCGGGCTCCGCGCGGCAGGTGGGTTCGCTTTGAGTGTGACACGGCCCGGCCCGGCCCGGCGACATGGCGGCCCCCGGCAGGTGCTGCCTGCGGAGACGTGAGTGGCGGGGGGGGAAAGGGCCGCGATGAGCGGGGATCCTCCAGTGCCTGTAACGGGGGTGCGGGCGCCTCCTCCCGGCGGGCCGGCTCCCCAGTCCCGGCTCACGGAGAGCCCGGGGCCGCCCAGCTACGGCTCTGATCGCCTGGGCCTCGGGTCTGGTTTTCACACGGGCTGGAGGGGGACCCCCGGCCCTGAAACGCCCAGCAGCGTCCCGGCCGGAGGCTGGGGAGCGGCCGCAGAGCCTGTTGCCCGGCAGCGGGGCCGCCAGACCCCTCCCGCCCCACGGGCCCGTTGGCGGCGGCCGGGGCCGCGAGCGAGCGTTTGGCCTTGTTGTAAGGTGTCCTTGAGACGCCTTCAGCAAAACTCTGCTTCATCCGGTGGAGAGACTGAAAAGGGCGTGTAATATGAATCCTAAACTAGGGGGGGGCTTCCTCCGGGGAGGGACAGCTGGCAGGCCTTGCTCCAGGGTTTTGTTACGAATAGGCAGGCAAGGGAAATCTGTAAAAATAGCGTCACAAATCAGGCCTGAATAGACCTTAAAAAAAAAAAAAAAAAAAAAAATCGCTCCTTTTCTGTGCTAACTGATTAGAGTATTACGAATGTTAATGTATTTTTTTTTTTTTTTTTGTATTTTTAAACAGTTCTGGCTCAGTTTCCCAGGATTGATCAACGTACCTCAGTAGTTCCCTGCCTTGGAAACATACAGCGATCCATTAGACCCTATGCTGCTGCAAAGTGAGTGTTTACTATATTTCTAACAGGCTGTGTCTGCAGTCATGGGTTACACAAATGGCTTTTAAAATTAAGAAGACTTAATAATATCTTGAATATTGGTGTAAATGTTGCTGTTGGACATATCCCTAGTACAACTTAGGCTACTTCCCTTTCTTATGGAGTATTAGAAGCCCTTTTGGAAGTGGCTACCTTTTGGTTAAGCACTGTTACTGAAGAAGGATAATTGCTTTGCCATATTTCAGAGTAGCAGCCGTGTTAGTCTGTATTCGCAAAAAGAAAAGGAATACTTGTGGCACCTTATAGACTAACCAATTTATTTGAGCATAAGCTTTCGTGAGCTACAGCTCACTTCATCGGATGCATAAAGTGGAAAATACAGTGAGGAGATTTATATACACACAGACCATGAAAAAATGGGTGTTTATCATACACATTGTAAGGAGAGTGATCACTTAAGATGAGCTGTTACCAGCAGGAGGGTGGGGTGGGGGGAGAGAGAAAACCTTTTGAAGTGATAATCAAGGTGGGCCAATTCCAGCATATTTCCAGGAGTTAACAAGAACGTCTGAGGAACAGTGCGGGGGGGAAGGAATAAACAAGGGGAAATAGTTTTACTTTGTATAGGTTTCAGAGGAACAGCCGTGTTAGTCTGTATTCGCAAAAAGAAAAGGAGTACTTGTGGCACCTTAGAGACTAACCAATTTATTTGAGCATGAGCTTTCGTGAGCTACAGCTCACTTCATCAGATGTATAATGACTCAATCACTCCCAGTGTCTATTCAAGCCTAAATTAATTGTATCCAATTTGCAAATTAATTCCAATTCAGCAGTCTCTTGTTGGAGTCGGTTTTTGAAGTTTTTTTGTTGAAGAATAGTCACTTTGAGGTCAGAAATCGAGTGACCAGAGAGATTGAAGTGTTCTCTGACTGGTTTATGAATGTTATAATTTTTGACATCTGATTTGTGTCCATTTATTCTTTTATGTAGAGACTGTCCAGTTTGACCAATGTACATGGCAGAGGGGCATTGCTGGCACATGATGGCATATATCACATTGGTAGATGTGCAGGTGAATGAGCCTCTGATAGCGTGGCTGATGTGATTAGGCCCTATAATGGTGTCCCCTGAATAGATATGTGGACACAGTTGGCAACGGGCTTTGTTGCAAGGATAGGTTCCTGGGTTAGTGGTTCGGTTGTGTTGTGTGTAGTTGCTGGTGAGTATTTGCTTCAGGTTGGAGGGCTGTCTGTAGGCAAGGACTGGCCTGTCTCCCAAGATCTGTGAGAGTGTTGGGTCGTCCTTCAGGATAGGTTGTAGATCCTTGATAATGCGTTGGAGAGGTTTTAGTTGGGGGCTGAAGGTGACGGCTAGTGGCATTCTGTTATTTTCTTTGTTAGGCCTGTCCTGTAGTAGGTGACTTCTAGGTACTCTTCTGGCTCTGTCAATCTGTTTCTTCACTTCAGCAGGAGGGTATCGTAGTTGTAAGAATGCTTGATAGAGATCTTATATGTGTTTGTCTCTGTCTGATGGGTTGGAGCAAATGCGGTTGTATCATAGAGCTTGGCTGTAGGCAATGGATCGTGTGATGTGGTCTGGATGAAAGCTGGAGGCATTAGGTAGGAATAGCAGCCAGTAGCTTTCCAGTATAGGGTGATGTTTATGTGACCATCGCTTATTAATACTGTAGTGTCCAGGAAGTGGATCTCTTGTGTGGACTGGACCAGGCCAAGGTTGATGTTGGGATGGAAATTGTTGAAATCATGGTGGAATTCTTCAAGGGCTTCTTTTCCATGGGTCTAGATGATGATGATGTCATCAATATAGCGCAAGTAGAGTAGGGGCATTAGGGAACGAGAGCTGAGGAAGCCTTGTTCTAAGTCAGCCATAAAAATGTTGCCATACTGTGGGGCCATGCAGGTACCCATAGCAGTGCCGCTGATTTGAAGGTATACATTGTCTCCAAATGTGAAATAGTTATGGGTGAGGACAAAGTCACAAAGTTCAGCCACCAGGTTTGCCGTGACATTATCGGGGATAGTGTTCCTGACGGCTTGTAGTCCATCTTTGTGTGGAATGTTGGTGTAGAGGGCTTCTACATCCATAGTGGCCAGGATGGTGTTTTCAGGAAGATCACCGATGGATTGTAGTTTCCTCAGGAATTCAGTGGTGTCTCGAAGATAGCTGGGAGTGCTGGTAGCGTAGATCCTGAGGAGGGAGTCTACATAGCCAGACAATCCTGCTGTCAGGGTGCAAATGCCTGAGATGGTGGGGTGCCCAGGATTTCCAGGTTTATGGATCTTGGGTAGCAGATAGAATACCCGAGGTCGGGGTTCCAGGGGTGTGTCTGTGCGGATTTGTTCTTGTGCTTTTTCAGGGAGTTTCTTGCGCAAATGCTGTAGTTTCTTTTGGTAACCCTCAGTGGAATCAGAGGGTAATGGCTTGTAGAAAGTGGTGTTGGAGAGCTGCCGAGCAGCCTCTTGTTCATATTCCGACCTATTCATGGTAACAATAGCACCTCCTTTGTCAGCCTTTTTGATTATGATGTCAGAGTTTTTCTGAGGCTGTGGATGACATTGTGTTCTGCACGGCTGAGGTTATGGGGCAAGTGATGCTGCTTTTCCACATTTTCAGTCCGTGCACGTCTGCGGAAGCACTCTATGTAGAAATCCAGTCTGCTGTTTCGACTTTCAGGAGGAGTCCACCCAGAATCCTTCTTTTTGTAGTGTTGGTAGGAAGGTCTCTGTGGATTAATATGTTGTTCAGAGGTGTGTTGGAAATATCCCTTGAGTCGGAGATGTCGAAAATAGGATTCGAGGTCAGCACAGAGCTGTATCATGTTCGTGGGGGTGGAGGGGCAGAAGGAGAGGCCCCGAGATAGGACAGATTCTTCTGCTGGGCTAAGAGTTGGATAGATTAACAATATTGCTGGGTGGGTTAAGGGAACCGTTGCTGTGGCCCCTTCTGGCATGTAGTAGTTTAGATAGTTTAGTGTCCTTTTTTTCTTTTGTAGAGAAGCAAAGTGTGTGTTGTAAATGGCTTGTCTAGTTTAGTAAAGTCCAGCCACGAGGAAGTTTGTGTGGAAGGCTGGTTTTTTATGAGAGTATCCAGTTTTGAGAGCTCATTCTTAATCTTTCCCTGTTTGCTGTAGAGGATGTTGATCAGGTGGTTCCGCAGTTTCTTTGAGAGTGTGTGGCACAAGCTGTCAGCATAGTCTGTGTGGTATGTAGATTGTAATGGATTTTTTACCTTCAGTCCTTTTGGTACGATGTCCATCTGTTTGCATTTGGAAAGGAAGATGATGTCTCTGTATCTGTACGAGTTTTTTCATGAAGTTGATAGATTTCCACTCCATACGGCTAAATGCAGTGCCTTGCATAATGACAGGTTTCAGAGTAGCAGCTGTGTTAGTCTGTATTCGCAAAAAGAAAAGGAGTACTTGTGGCACCTTAGAGACTAACCAATTTATTTGAGCATAAGCTTTCGTGAGCTACAGCTCACTTCATCGGATGCATAAAGTGGAAAATACAGTGAGGAGATTTATATACACACAGACCATGAAAAAATGTGTGTTTATCATACACTTTGCCATAGTCACAATATATTTTTTTTAATTCACTTTTCTATATACTTTCTTATGAACAGTAAAATAAATACAAATGTTACAAAACAAAATAGACTAGTAAAAATTAGTCAATCCTACCACTGAGACTGTTATCAAATGGACTACTAAAAGGAGGATATCAACATAAAAGCTAGTTGGTTTATAAAAATTAGTAATTTTAAGTGGTGCATATGCTCCTGCTTCTCCTGGCAGTTGGTGTGGTTTTACAATCACATTTTCCTCTTAAAAAAATCTGTCTGTTGTGTGAAATATGTACATAGATGAGAGGAAGAAAACTATGCAGACACTACAGTAAAACTTACTATACACAAAATACTGTCAATGCTTCTAATTTCTCTCAGTTTTCCTAATGTGAAGTGTTACTTAAAAAGATTGGTGAAGTATAGTTTAATGGAAGTATGGCTTTAAATTCACAACATACTTTTAATGCTTATCCTTCTATTATCTGTTTCTTTCTTTATGTGCTCTTCACCCTCCCATTCTCAGTAGCCTTGAAAACTAGATAATGTCATGAAGGCACTTGGGTCTGCCTGCAGAGAGCTGTTTGCAGGATTGGAACATAAGATGATGAGCAACATTCAAATGGATTCAGGAAGGGAAGACCATGAAATATATACAACACTTGTATGAATATATGGATAGCTTTGTAATTACATATATATCAATACTCTCAATTGCCTCTTAGCCAAAGTTTAATGGCTAGGCTGATTTTTTTTTTTTTTTTGGTAGACTTCAGTATTACTCTTGTTTTTATATGGAAAGTGCTCAGATACAATGGTGGTAGGTCACAGGATAAAATCTTAAAATAGATATATGGTTGCTGGGGTAGTGGGTCTGAAGAAAGGATATATAAATTATTTGAGTGTATTCTGTGTCAGACATGCACAAAGTTGTCCATAACTTTTATTATTTTTACAGTCTTAGATACACATGTATACAGCATCTTCTACAAGAGCTTGGTATTCTGTTGTGTTTGAATAGCAGTATGTGATCACCTGATTGGAGACTGTACCATAATGCATATGCATGAAGGAGTGGAGTTGCAAATATTATCTTAACTTCAGTGTTTTGACATAACTATGCAACATTAATTTAGATCTTTAACACAGTCATGTGAAATGCAGAGTATCAGGTGCAAAACACCTTGAGAGTATTTATTCCCAAACACTTAGTGCCAGATTTTCCAGAGGTGTTGAGCAGCTACAGCTCCCATTGACTTTGACAGGAACTGTAGTTACTCAGCACCTTTAAAAATCAGCACCTTAACTTTTTAAAGATAGCAAAGAATTGCTTAGGAGTAAACTGCTCTTTTTCCTGCCATGGGAATATTCTGGTTTCTGTTATGATCATGTGACAATCCTTGAGAACCCTCCTTCAGCGCTCCTTTGTGATGATAACCAAAGTCTCACGTAAAAACAGACCACTTCCCTTCCTTAATAAAAACAAAATTTAAAATTCAATAGATTACAGAGCCCAAGAGGTGTTAAATGTTTACTTTGCAGAACCAGAGCCAAACCTATTGGACTTCCCAAAATGGGATTCTTAAAAGTAGAGAAAACTTATGGAAGTTGCAGAGAGCTGCAAGAAAGAGGGTGGAGAGGGCTGATCATGTATGACCCACATTGGGTAAAACAGATTTATTTGGTCTGCCTGGGTAGCCAATCTTAAATGGCTTCTACTGTACTAGTTGTAATGGGTTACAATATCTTTCCCTTAGGCACAGAAGATGGGATTGTTCAGTATGGAGCTGAATTAATTCCTTCCTATAGGAAATTCATGGAAACTGCTTTGTCATCTTTGCCATTCACCTTGCTGGCTTCCGGATATTCTTAAGATATGGGGGGAACTAACTCTTACAGATCTGTGCGTAAATAGGATTGCCAGGATAATGTCCCACTTGCCTTTTTTGAGAAGAAAATCTTGATGCTTTTGGAAGCGTTAATTTGAATTTCTAAAAGTGGAACTTGTCCTTTTTGTAATACCTGAAACGACAACTTCAGAGTTGGAATTTCAGTTTGTTTTTTGCCATTAAATGCAGATTAAGCGGTAACATTAATGGAATGCAGCTTGTGCGCTAACGTTGGCAGATCAGTGGTGAAGCCAACGCAGTTATCTAAATTAACCTTTGAGCCAAAGTCGAGATATTTTGCTCTGATATTTGTCTAGGAAGTCAGTCATTATCAGAGCACAAATTCAGATTCCAAAATCATTCGTGCTCTTTCGCTAAACGGACTGCACAAAAACAGATTTTGAAGCTTCTGATTTCTGAGAGGCTATTCAGGATTGTTGCCATCGTGAGGCAGGAGCTACATCCCACAAGAAACTTGCAGCCAGGAAGAAAAGAACATTGTAATGTTTAATTCTTTAGGAATTTTTACTGGATTACTGAGGCGGATTAGTTTAGAGGGATTATGATGATTTTTTTTAACAGGCGCTATGTTCTGATTATTTAAATCTCCTTTAAGATGACTATCAAAGTCCATCTGTGACCATACTCATAGTCACTGACTAGGTAATCTTGCATCTATTGCTTTGTAGCCTTTGAGGTTTAGTTTCATTAATCGTGTTTTGGTTCTGATTTGTCTTTACTCTTCCTCTATGTTTACAGTAGGTGGGTAGGCGAAGTAAGTGGGGAGTCCAATGCAGTTTTGATGGATTGACCTTTCATGAGTTGACTTGGCCACACAAGACATTGTTTTTTATTGAGATGCCATTTAAACCAAACTGTTTTTTATTCAAGTACGTACTAAGCATTAAGGTTAATGGTCTTATATTTATCATTTTGGTTTGCAAAAGAACTGCAAAAAAAGGTTCAAAGGATGCCAAGCAGAAAACTTCGGAAGCAGAGCCAGCAAAAAAAAAAAACACTTACAGACGAAAGTTAGCAAGCAAGCCAGTGGATGATGTGTATTTAACATGGTTGTATGAAAGGCCAGTCTATGATGCAGAGGTGGCTGTGGACATGCTGAAGAAGTTTCAGCAGTTGGACTTCACTTACCCAAAACAACATGTATATGCTAACCTCACCCTGGATATGATGCTAGAGAAGAAGGTATGTTGACAGTACCTACAGATTTGCAGTTGTGATATTTTAAGAAACTACCTTTCTTAATGGCAAGGGAAAGAAATGTAATACAGTGAAGAGTCTTTCTTGTCGTCTTGCTCTGGCTCATCCTCCAAACCTCTTTCACATTTGGCGACATGTTTATGCAGGGTATTCACTGTTCTTTCCTAGACGACACTGTGCTTTGGCAGAACTGTACATTAGTATCTTTCAAATTCAGGACTTAAAGATGTTTCCTCTGATCAACAATTTCTGTTGTTCTTCTAATGTTTTAAAGACTGCTGTATAGTTAAAGTCCTATTCCAAGACACAACCTATTTTGATAAGGATTGTCTGTGTTCATATAGTGCCTTTAGAAGATTTGTATAATTTAAAAGTTGGCATCCAGTCATGGAAAAATCCTGTATTCTCTCTCTCTCTCTCTTTTTCCTGCCTTGCTAGTACTCTTGCCATTGTGCTGTATTGAACAGCAATCCCCATCTAATCCCCTACTGTTCCTGGGTGCACTCCTTACGAGAAGGAGAGTAGAGACAATAATTTTCTTTCCTCTTCCCCTCCTGTTTTTATTTCTCTTCCTTCTGCCCTGTGTTAATGTTGTCACTTCTCTCTTGGCAGCAGAACAGGAAAAGCATCATGTATAGGCATGGCATAGGCACGGTCCTAGTTTTGAGGGAGTCCTAAATTGAACTAGAGGGACAAAAATACAGAAGTGTGTAAAGTGTCAGTTCATTCTAGTCTCATATTTCAAGTAATGCATTTTAGGCTATCTAGTTATCAAGTCAACAGCGAACTAAATGTACCAAAACATAATCTATGGGTAGAGCTGTTCTTTATTTGTAATTTCAGTAGTTCATAGCCAACTTACAACACAAATGTTAGTACTTAGTGGACCAGCTCCACACAAGTGGGAAAAATATACAAAACCCCCTTTTCTTATAAACAAAGTTCCAGTTAGGATTTAGATGTCCTACAGTAAGAGAGTTTTAAATTTGCACCAACCACTTTTTTTTTTATATCTGTTAGAAAAAAGTGGATCAGTTTGTCAGCACCATTCTTCTGCCATATCCTTTTGCTAACGAAATCAATAAAGTTTTGGTCTTCACAGAGGTGAGTAAACGTGTTATTTAAGTCTTGCATTTCAGATATTTTATGTATACAACAAATGTTTAGTACATGGTTCACTTTTGTATTTGTGTAGGGCCTTTCGTTCTGAAGGATCCCAAAGTGTTTTACAAAGTTTCTTGGGCCAGGAGCGACCTCTGGCTGTGGATGCTTAGCAATTTAATGTTTGTTCCTACTTTTTTCTGTTCTCCTGTCTTGTGTGTGTACACTTATCTGTTAGCAGAATATTCTAGTGCTGTAAATTTAAGAATTTAAGAGGAATTGAGTACCAAGGCTGAAGCAACTCATAATGGAGTTCTTGTAACCCAAGGGTGGGCAAACTTTTTGGCCCGAGGGCCACATCAGGGTTGCAAAACTGTATGGAGGGACGGGTAGGGAAGGCTTTGCCCCGCCCCTATCCACCCCCTCCCACTTCCAGCCTCCTGACTTCCCCCCTCAGAACCCGTGACCCATCCAACCCCCCCTGCTCCTTGTCCCCTGACACACACACCACCTGAGACCTGCTGCCCCTATCCAAACGGCCTTTGGGGACCCTACCACCATCCAATGCCCTGACTCCTATCCACACCCCCACCCCCCGACAGGCCTGCCCTGGGACTCCCAGACCTATCCAACCTCCCCTACTCCCCATCCCCTGACTGCCCCCCCGAACCATCTGCCCCTTATCCAACCCCCCCCCCACTCCCCGCCCCCTTACCATTCCAGAGCCAGCCCCGCCACCATCCTGCCCGGCAGGAGTTTGCAGCCCTGCTGCTCAGAGCGCTGGCAGCACAAGCTGGGGTTGCAGGGGAGCGGGGACAGCAGGGAAGGGGCTGGGGGCTAGCCTCCCCGGCCGGGAGCTCAGGGGCTGGGCAGGACAGTCCCACAGGCTAGATGTGGCCCGCAGGTTGTAGTTTGCCCACCTCTGTTGTAACTTAATACTGGCTAAAGGAAGTGTCCTTTCCTAGTTAGAATCCATTGCTGTTTTTCTCCTTCTCCCCATGTGTCCATAATTATTTTTCATCTTAATTTATTTAAAATTCAATTTATATGATATAAAGCTTGTGCCTCTGTCGTTGATTTGTCTTAATACCAAATCCTCAATCTTTCAGTTGCCCTCCCTAAATCTTTTCTACTTTCCTTCAAGACTGCCAAATGCCTGGCTTATGTACATAATAGAAAACTAATATTTTGGAATGAGTCTTTTATAGAACTTTTGCTGATACATTTCATTTAAAGTACTTAAATGCTCATGAAAGGTCCTGCATTAACAGCCACAGATCTTCCCTTAGCCAAAGAATCGGTACAGCACAAGCATTGGCAGAACCTATGCTGCGGTCTGATAGCAGCCATTTTTTCAGGCACAGGCTGAGCTAAAACAAAAATAGACCAAAATTTAAACCATATAAATATTTTGCATCGGGCACTGGAGCTTGGTCATGTAATTGTAGAAAATCACCAAAGGGAGCAAATTTAATCAAATGTGAGAGTCCTGCCACACTTCTGGAGAGTTCAGCTGTAGAGGCTTCCAGCTGACTTTTTAATAGTTTTGACAAGGTATAAAGTGAAAAGCAATCTACCAAACAACCATATCACAGACCATTTAAGGTCGTATGGATAATGATCACCCAGAAGATAGCAGGAAACCACTGCAGACACTTGAGTCCAAGTGTTTGCTATATTCACAGTGGCTTGCGCTGCTCAGACAAGCAACAGCATTCTACCCACAAGCTCCACCTAGTGTAGACTGTGAAGGTAACCCTAAGCATGATGCAGTAGAGTAGTCTAATATCAAGTGACAGAGACACGAATCATGGTTGTATTGCCTGTATTGGAAAAGTATACCTGCAGCATCCTGGCCATCTATAGATAACGAAAGGCACGAGAGGCCAGCTTGCCAACTGAGAATTCAGGGGCAGTAATGATTCCAGTAGGACATCTAATATGTGAGCCATTTTAGTAAAAGGTGGGCATAGTGTGCATCCTTCTTAGGATGTTCTGAATATTCATGCCATTATTTTCTGACTCTCTCTTCTAACAAAAGCTTCCACTTGTCATCCAGTTTGCTTTCATCAAGGTCCCTGCCTAAGTCAAATACTCGGAAAGAAATGGTTTTGTAGAATCAGAGTTAAATAGAAGATGTAGAACTGAGTATCCCCAGCAGATTGATGATACTGCAGCTCAGAAACTTCTCTCTCTCGTTGTACCATATGCATAGTGGATAAGAGTGTGACAGGATGCAACTCAATGTGACCCTTCTTATGTGAGCACCTGGGGGAGGACAAGTAGTTTCCCCAGATTCTACGCACCAGGACCCCTCTGAGAAGAAAGTGTGAAGCTATGTAATTTCTTTTTTATAAAAACTAAACGTGACTTTATAATAGCTTATGTAATCAAACCATTAATATCTCATCAATGGTATTAAAAGCTATTGACAGATCACTAGATGATATTGATGGTTTCTGTTCAGTACTGAAAGTAAACTAATTGGATCATGTGTAGAGAATGAATGAGTAATTTCCAAACATCTTTTCAAGTAAAGGTCTCTTCAGTATTTGTTTAATGGTAGCTTGTTCACCTCAAGGAAGTTAGTAACAATCATCTTCACTGGTGCACTAAAACTTTCTCCACTTTTTCTTTAAAGGATAAGACTCCATCTAGCAGATGGCTGGTTGCTTCATCCTGATCATGGAGAAAGAAAGCAAGAAACTGAGTTGAAAACCACCCAGCATAAATTGTTAGCATTTCCTGTCTCACTGTAACACTGTTCTCTAGATTTGGTGAGATCATGGCAAAGATTTTGTTGCCACTCCTTACTGGGACCTGATTAAAATTTGTGAATTAGAGAGAAAGCTTCCATTAAAGATTCCCAGAGCTACCTATCTCTAAACCTCACTAGTTTTTAAACAGTTGTTCCCATCTGATAGTTTCATGTTTAACAAACAAGTGAGTTGGTTTTTCATTCAATGCATATGACTGTGTTGGTGAAATCATTCTACTGTTGATGACTTTGAAGTAATAACAGAATGGCTGATAGTACATATGTTATATCTGGGCTATTGTTTTTTTAACAGAATGCAGAAGAAATTAAAATAGCAAAAGAAAATGGAGCTGCTTTTGTGGGAGGGACTGAATTAATCCAAAAGGTATTTTTTTTAATATCCGTGTAAATTGCATTTTTCATGTTACAAAAACCCTGTCGAGGCTGGGAAGCTTTACCCTTGTAAGTTTCAGTGGTCTAAACTGAGAGGTGACACAAAGGATGGTGTTAAACTCATGCCAGTTTACTGATCTGTAAGTAGATGTAACACATGCTCTGATAAGGATGGAGAATGGGGTTGTAAGAAGAAAAGTAAGCAATGGGAATATGTTATAAGATGTAAGATAAAACAGGTATGCCCTCCTTTACTTTAGTCTTCTCTTGGTTGCTTTAGAGGAGGAGTTTTCAACCTTTCATTTGCAGATCCCTAAATAATTTAAAATGGAGGTGCCGACCCCTTTGGAAATCTTAGACGTAGTCTGCAGACCCCCAGGGGCCACAGACCACAGGTTGAAAACTATTGTTCCATGGTAATGGCAGTCTTTTGCAGACCCCTTGGACATAGTCTGCAGACCCCAGATTGAAAACCACCGCTTTAAAGGAAGCTTGCAGGGTTTTGTTTTTTTTTGCCTTTTCTGGCAATGAAAATAAAGCCTGTTTTATTTTTAACAATTTTAAAAAATTACTTATGGAGTGTAATCTTCCACTACTCTCTAAAGCTTACCAACCAGTATACAGTAACTTCTCACTTAACGTTGTAGTTATGTTCCTGAAAAATGCGACTTTAAGCAAAACGATGTTAAGCTAATCCAATTTCCCCATAAGAATTAATGTAAATAGGGGGGGATTAGGTTCCAGAGAATTTTTTTTCACCAGACAAAAGGGGTGGGTGTGGGTGTGTGTAATATAGTCTTTTGTCGCCCCCCACCCCCCCACACAGAGTATAAGTTTTAAACAAACAATTTAATACTGGTACACAGCAACGATGATTGTGAAGCTTGATTGAGGTGGTGAAGTCAGAGGGTGGGATATTTCCCTGGGAATGCCTTACTGCTAAATGATGAACTAGCAATTGGCTGAGCCCTCAAGGGTTAACTCACTGTTGTTAATGTAGCCTCTCACTCTACAAGGCAGCACGAATAGAGGGAAGGGAGACAGCATGGCAGAGACACACCGTGTGTGTGTGTGTGTGTGTGTGTGAGAGAGAGAGAGAGAGGGGGGAGAGAGATGTGCTTTGCCCCTTTAAGTACACTGACCCCACTCTTAAGTATGCTGCCTTGTTAAGTAGATCAGCAAGCTGAGACCACAGCTGCTGCCAGGAAGCTCCCTCCATCCTGAGACCTGTCGTGTGTGTCTCTTGCTCTGTGGAAGATGGGGTAAGTAGGGGGGAGGGGGACACCCTGATATTAGCCCCTCTCTTCTTCCCCTCCCCCCACACAGCAAGCAGGAGGCTCAAGGAGCAGCTCCAAGGCAGAGGGCAGGAGCAGCACATGGCAGTGGGGGGGAAGGACAGCCGAATTGCAGGCAATTGATCGCTTGCTGGGCAGCTGCCGCACTGGGAACTTAGGAGAGCAGGGAGCTGATAGGGCGGCTGCTGGCCCACCCTGGTTCCAAGCCCCCATCAGCTAGCTCCAACGGGTTGCTCTCCCTGCAAGCAGTGGACAAAGCAGGCTGCCAAATGACATTATAAGCGAGCATTGCACAACTTTAAACGAGCACGTTCCGAAATTGATCAGCAACGTAACAACGTTAACCGGGACAACTTTAAGGGAGGAGTTACTTTATTTACATCTTAGTTTTACATTCTCTTGTGGTTGGCTTTAAGAATGTGATCTTTCTAAAAACTACAAAGTTGGTTCCAAGAACTCTTTGAAGCGGGGACTTTGTCTTCCTTAGTACAGAACCTAGCACTCTTTGGCACTACTTTGATACCGCTGCATTGGTCATATTGCCAAATGTTTAAAGTCTGATGGCTGAGAAACACAAGAGACAGAAGGCTTTTCCTTTCCTGAGGGTATTTTTTTTTAATTCTGAGCATTTTATCTCAAAAATGAATATTGCTTCCATTTTTAAATATACTTATATTGCAAACTTTCACCTAATTATTCTGGCTTCTTTTAATTTCAGATTTTGGATGATGAAATCAATGCAGATTTTTACATAGCCGTTCCTGAACTAATAGCGAAGTTGCTACCTTTAAAAAACAAACTAAGAAAAAAGTTTCCAAAGACTAACAGAAGTAAGACATTTTCATTAAATATTATTTTATATATATTAAATATTTAATCACATTAATGTATTAATATTAAATATTAAGCCCTTGAGCAGGAGCTTTCTCTTGAAACAATTTAATCAGCATCTTCATTTAGGAAATGAAGCTGTGTAAAATGTATCTCTGGAATGAAGTTTTACTGAGAGGACCTTTACTGAGTTTGATTGTGATTTGAGACCAATATGATCTTTGAAAAATCTGGTACTCTGAGCCAGTTCTTCAGTTTAAATGAACTTGAGTTTAGAGTCAAGCCCTATCTGCATAAACTTATGGGAACTATGTATATGCAAGAAACCTCTTACAGTGAGAGATCTAGTTAGAGAAATACACGCAAAGTCACATACTTTGAAACTTACACATTGCAAAGAACTGAAATATGGCTATAATAACCTTCTGCTTATAGCAAAGTTCTGTGGGGGAAAATGGTTTCACTAAAACAGTGAAAAATGTGCGGAAATTTTGTGTAGTCACGAGCACCACAACTTACCAGTTATTTGTATGTTTTGCCCACTTTTTAACCACATTTGAATGGCATCTGTCTTTAACCTATTTCTCTTTCACAATTATTTTCTTCATATCTATGGCTTGTTTCTTCATGATGCTATAAATATTCCCTCTCTTGGTATCGGATCTCCCACAACAACAAACATCGTTCTGTACAATATCTTTCTCTATTTTTTGACCTTCCTTTGGTTCTAAATGATCTTAATTTGTTACTTCTAACATGATCCAAATTAAAATCCTGTGGCTGTTCAAGCATTGTTTTTTTTTCTTGCTGACATTGTTATGCACTGAGAGTTTAAATCAAGATCTTTTCCTCATCTTTAATGTTTTCTTTCCTCCACAAGTGTCTGCACAAAGTATTTACAAGCAGGCAAACAACATTTGTGCTCTTTAAACAGTTGGAGCAAACTACTAATCTGTCAAAAATGTAACAGGTGCATTAGAATACATGAAAGCCTATATTGTGCCCTTAAGAGGTTATTCAGTTTCTAGTTTAGCAAAACCTGATTTCTGCTACAGCCAACAGAACACGTGGGTAAAACAGAGTGTACGTTTCAAACAAGCTCGCGACATTATAAGCCAAATAGGCCCTTGCACCTCAGCTAACTATTTTTTCTCTTCTTGTTACTGATGGGAATCGTCCCGGTTAACGTTGTTTCTCGTTACGTTGCTGATCAATTAGAGAACATGCTTGTTTAAAGTTGCCCAAGGCTCCCTTATAATGTTGTTTGGCAGCTGCCTGCTTTGTTCACTGCTTGCAGGAAGAGCAGCCTGTTGGAGCTAGCTGGTGGGGGCTTGGAACCAGGGGGGACCGGCAGCTCCCCTAAATTCTCTGTGCGGTAGCTGCAGAACAGGCTATCAATTGCCGGGCAGTTCAGCTGTCTCTCCTCTCGCTGCCATGTGCTGCTCCTGGTTTCTGCCTTGGAGCTGCTCCCGGGAGCCTCCTGCTTGCTGTGCAGTGGGGAGGGAAGAGGGGTGCTGATGTCAAGGTGTCTCCCTCCCCCAGCTCCTGTACCGCATCTCGATAGAGCTGGGTGGGATAGACAGGGCTCAGGATGGAGGGAGTTGGCCAGTAGCAGCTTCTATCTCAACTTGCTGATCTACTTAAAAAGGCAATGTACTTAGAGTGAGGTCAGCGTACTTAAAGGGGGCAGTGCGCATCTCTTTCTCTCTCACACACACACACTCACTCACTCAAGGTGTGTCTCTGTCATGCTGTCTCCTCCCTCCATTCATGCTGCCTTGTAGAGTGTGAGGCTACGTTAACAACGTGTTAACTCTTGAGGGCTCAAGCCGAGTGTTAGTTCATCATTTAGCAGTAAGGCATCTCCTGGGAAATATCCCACCCTCTGACTCCACCACCTCAACCAAGCTTCACAATCACCATGGCTGTGTACAGAATTAAATTGTTTGTTTGAAACTTAAACTGCGTGTGTGTGTGTATATACATATAATATAGTCTTTTGTCGGTTGCAAAAAAATTTCCCTGGAACCTAAACCCCCATTTACGTTAATTCTTATGGGGAAATTGGATTCGCTTAACATCTTTTCGCTTAAAGTAGCATTTTTCAGGAACAGAACTACAACGTTAAGCGAGGAGTTACTGTATCCATCTTGGCTGGATTGAGTCAGGACACTGTATAAAATGTCTAATACTGTAGTTTACTAACTATATTTTAATCCTCTTGGGATATTTTTAAAATGTACAGGTTTGTTTTGTTTTTTTCTGTTTAATTTCAGGTTAGAAATACATTTTCCAAACCAGATCTCTAACTGGTATAATAAGACTGTGTTGCAAGAGCCTTCATTTTTATAAAGCTCTACTACAGGGTTCTCATCTTGAATTATCTTGGTGTATTTCTTGCAGATAAATTACATCCTACTATAGAACAATTCATGTGCAGTAATGGGTGATTAAAAGTACATAGGCTCCTAAAACAACACAGTCTAACCTAGGGTGTAAATGTATAGAATATGGGTCCACTGGGGGCCCTCACCGTGTCCTCAGTATCCTGCAGGTTTGTCAAGGGTGATGATTTTCTTTGTCTTGATTACATTTAGAGGAAACTGTTCTAACTCTCATTTTGGTTGTACTAGATGTAGGGACGCTAATACTTTCTTCCACTTTTTGTTTTTCTAATTAGATTCTCTGGGCCGTGACATTCCAAAAATGCTGGAACTCTTCAAAGCGGGCCATGAGTATGTGGTAGAAGAGGAGAACCGTATCGAGACAAGAATAGCAACGGTATGCTCTACAAATAATTTTTTAGCAAATAATTCATGTACTTTCCTTTTATTATTCAGCGGAGTAGTTAATAATTTACTGAAGGGTACACAGTATGCCCTTGGTAATCTGTATGTTTTGTAGCTTTTTAGGAATGTGATTCACTAACCGGTTAACTAAATACATTGTGCTGTTGAATGATTTAAGTTAGAGCAGTTCCTGTAAATCGTTAAACCTCGGCTAATCTAAGAGTTTTCGTATTTAAAAAATTAGGAAAGCAAGCTATGCCTAACACACTGAGAAATGAAAGTTGTCAGAAATAGTCTTGTGATGCATGACAATTTGCCACCATATTGTAATGGACAGTAATGCTAAATGAAAGCATGGGATAAAACTCAAATATTACTAGGACCTCTATTCCAGACAGATTCTTGGGAACGGTATTTAACTTTAATACTTCAGTATCAATGCCATTTAAGATTTTGCACTTGAACTTTTTCAGTTCCTCCACAGTAGAACAAGCTCACAGTAATCACATTTTGACTTTCTGGGTTACTGATCATTTTGCTTTTTCTTAGTTTTAATCTCCAGGGTGTTTTCTGTTGGTATAAAAATGTTCTGCTTATTTGTGTAGGCAGATCCAGAACTACTTGCTGCATACACCTTAATAAATTGTACAGGCTTTTTATTGCATTTAAAGTCCTATCTGTATGACCACATTTTTAAAAAGTTTGTTAGTTTTGGATAATATCTGCCACATCATGTAGTACATCTATACGTTGAATACTGTTTTGTTTTGTTTTTTAACCTGATTTCAGTTGGTATAGTGTCTTTCTAATCTTTCATTTTCTCCCCTCCCTTTTCAGTGTTGCTTTTCTTATCTCTTTGTCTGTTACCTTTCCTGCTCTGGGTTCTGTTTCTGTTCTGTACTTGTTTTCTCTCCTCAAGACTCTCCCTCTTTCTCCCCCCTCCACATTTTTTTTTCTTCTTTCTCCTTAGCTGTCTGCCCTGCCTGACTCTGCTTGGCTTTGTGTACCGATGCCAGCAAAATGAAATTTAATCCCTGAAGCTTTTTCTGGTAGTGTTTCAAGGATCAAGAATCTTGCAAAGTGTAATTAGAGGGTTCTGCATGTCAGTCAGGATTTGATCCTCTTCTTAAAATTTGAAACTGAAGTTCCATGAACATTTTCCTCGTGAGATGTATTGTAAGTTTCATAGAAGTTGAAAATTCCCCTTATGTTCAAGATTTTTTTCTAAAATCTTAGCTCAGCGCTCAGAACAGTTTAGCATGTCTTGTAGAAAGTATGGGTCAGACTGTGAGCCGCTCTGGAGAAGGGGGCAAAGAGGGGTCAATGACATGGGAAACATATTTGTATGGTAGTGGTGCCTAGGAATCCTGATCAGGGCCTAATTGTGTTAGGTACTGTACAGACACACAACACAAAGATAGCCCAAGGAACTTACAATCTAAATACAAGACAAGAGACAACAGGTGGATACAGAAGGCAGACTGGGAAATTCCAAGGGAACAGTGAGATAATTGAAAACTGTGTGGAATTTGGGACTTCAGGAGTTTGTAGGGAACAAAGCCCTCCCCAATCCCTGTGGACCCTTAGGAAAGGGTGAACTCGGATATATGGAGATCTCCACACTAATCATTGTTTGTCTTCTCTTCTTTGATGCACATTTGCTGCAGAGCTCCTGTATGAGCCTTGCAGCTATTTCCCCTGAGGCTGCTAAGCAGCTGCTGTTGTGGGGATCCAGAAGCAATTAATGAAACTCCAAACCTAAGTAACTCTCACTCAGGCTTCTGTGTGGTAGTCCAAACGATCAACAGGAGACTGTGTGATTGGTGTCCAGCCCTCTGCTCAGCCCCCAGCTGTATCCTGAAACCCCACAGAACCTCTTCCATGTGGAGCCCCAGGAGAGGGCCCATCAGTTGGATGCTGGGAAAGAGACAGTGCTAGGGAAGTGACAAGATCTAGGACACTGCATAGAAATTCAGGGCTCTTCTCCTGAATTCTCCTAGTCTCAGGTGCTAGAATCCTACTTAAAGAAGAGTATGTTCTGCTGACTCTCACTACGTAACACAGGTCTTGAGTAGAGTAACATTGGGAAATGTTTCAGGAAAAGAAAGCCTAGCATAGACAAGACCTCAATGTTGCTAACACTAATGCAGCTCCACAGGTAGGAAAGCTAGTTCAGACAAGACTCTGGGAGCGTGCTGGCTTTTTTACCGCAGTGTCGTGTAGACTTGCTCACTATTAAATAAAGAACTGTTGAATTTAAACCTTGTGAATGATAACATAATTACAAACTGCAGTAAAGGGTAAAGCTGCCTTGCAGTACTCGCAATAACAGCACGGTACTTCCAGCCCACCTTTCAATCAAGGTGGCCTTTCTCAAAGAGAAAGCGTAAAAGACTCTCTGCGGTGTTGCTGTCTTAAATTGTCCATTAATCTGTTCTGACCTGTTTTTCGATGTCACACCTCTCTTCCGCACAAGTCAGCAGTTGTGATGTTTTCCAGTCTAATAAATAATTGAGATGTTTGAGAGGAACCAGAGAAGCGATGACAGCTGTGTTCAGCTCGCAAAATCTGGAGTGATGGAATCTGAGATGGAGAAATCGTGTGTCCCATTTTCCTCCATCTCCCAAAAGGACCCATTTAGCAACCATAATCTTCCAGCTGCAGAGGATAGAATGGGACTATATTTGGATGGTTTTAGAGCTGTTTTTTAAGATGGATAGGTTGCTGCTGATAATACAAAACATTTCCCTTTCTCCAAAGCTGTGTTTGCTGCATTCACAAAATTCTCAGCCTTTCTGACCTAGTAAGTGAGACCAGGAATTTAACTCCTGTCTCCTTTCATCCATGCAAAGCGTTCCAGAGAGTTGTCTTGGATAGAGGGGCAGTCTCTGTAAAGTATATTTTGCAGAGTTTAATTTCCTTGAAATAGAAAGTTATAAATGGCCTGTTCCAAAGAATATAGTTGTTAAAGCAGCATCATTTTCATTGGTATGATTAAAGATCTTATGGTTATTTTCTTTACGGATTTCTGGTTTCATTGGTTTATAACTAAACAGTACAAATTTAAATAAAAATGAGTACAAATAAAAAATAGAAGTGTAAATGACATCAGTTGTAAAAACCAACCAACATAAAAGGAAATAGAGTTAAGTCTGAAAACCTGAGATCCTTGCTTCCACTTTTAATGCATACTATTTTTCCCCTCCCACAGTAACATGACTTAAGGCCAGAAGTTAGTGCTCTTTTTTAATCTAGTAGATATTTTGTTTTATGAACTTGTAAAAACCCAGGTGTTGCATTTTGTGTGTTGGCAAGACAAATCCAAGGTAATTTTATTTTGTGTTGTCTTTGGTAAGACAGAAAACTAATAGACTTAACAATGAATTTTAGTACCTGCATGAGCTGTTCTTTCTTTCAGGTCTCAAATGTAAGAGCCGTCTTCACATGGAGTTATTCAGGAAAGCTGTTCCTGAATAACTGCATGTGTGGACAATCTCAGCCCAGTATAAGGGTGCCTTGTTCCTGTTTAACTTAGCCCTTGCTAAACAGCTGTTCCTGAATAACTTCATGTGTAGACAAGCCCTGAGTGGGAGAAGTAGTGAGCCTTTTAAAATTATTTAACTTCGGAGGGAGTTGAAGGCACTACCACCTTACAGTATTCGGCCCTTGTATTTCTTATTCTTAAAGGAGTTTTGAGCTAGGACCAGGGTGGATTTGATTTAAATCACTAGTCAGGAAGACTCGATTTAATCAAGGATTTCTACATAAAAATGCATTCTTGTTGGTTGTTATAATCTTAATACATATTCTTCACAACTCAGCGATAGATGTAGGTTTCATTTTTAGCAGGTACATACTATACATTTTTAAAGTAATTTATTTTGAAAACTTTTCAGATTAGTTTTACAGCTATGTCAGAAAATGAACAATTGTTTGGTTATTTCATTTACCAAAGGTAATTGAAGCAGATATTTATGAAGTAATTGGGAGGTTAATCATTAATATTCGGAGGATTTTCTTGCCATGCTGTATTAGGAGGAGAACATCACTAGGCCTTGCACTTCTTTGTTGCACTGTTTGCATTTTGCATGCATGCCTGTCTTACCCACAGGTAGAGGAACTTCATTAAAATATTCCCAAACTGGGTCTCTCTTACGGCCTGCTGCAATTATAGATTTTCTCTTCTCGTGAGAGAATGGTACGGTAGATCTCAAATCAGTGAGTGCTACACTCAGAAAGACCTCTTGACTTCTGGAATATGCTGGTCAAGCAGTTTCACTTTTGTTTCTACTGCCTGTCCCTCCCTTCTCATATTTATCTCCAGACTTCTTTTTCTTGTCCAGATCTGTTCCACCCCCAACAATCTTCTTTCTATTCATTGAACTTTTCAAAACTTTGCACTTTTAGAGAGAGGTAAGGGATTGACTTTGTGTACACAAATTTGCAGAGGGACAATAGGGTTGAGGTCTGTTGTTTCTCACCTCTTTAGTTAGTTAGTTAGTTAGTTATTTTAAAACCTTTTTGCTGTTAACAAGCATTTTATCTCTGGAGACATAAATCCACAGTTTGAGAACTGCAAAACTAAACATCTCTGATGGTATCTTCTATACTGAGCACTGAGTCCCATTGCGTAGATAGAAAGATTAATCTAAATAATCTATACAGAAGTCCCTGGAACCCCATAAAATTGGGTCCCTAATCCATAAACTATTGGAACTCATTTACAAAACTTTTCTTAAACATTACATGAATATATTGTCTCATACTATAGAATTAGAATTTATAATCCCTATTCCATGATGAGATGTCTTTGAGCTATAATGTATCTTAATTAAAACTATCTTTAGATAGATTTTTTTCCTCAAAAAGCATTTTATCAAAATAATCCAATTTAAATAAAAAAAATCCATTTTTTTTTCTTTTTTTTAAAAATGTCATTGATTTTTATACACCCTGCTTTCTGGTGTTGGTCATTGCACAATCACAGATCTC